AGTTGATTATCTCGGTTGAATATGATCCACATGTCTTGTAAATTTTAAATTTTTTTGACTAGTGCCCTCCACGATCATCTAACATTATTACTTTGTTTCTAACTGGATGTAATATTTAATTAAAAATGAAAGTGTCCGAAATTTGAATCGTCCGAAATTTGAATCGTCCGAAATTTGAATCGTCCGAAATTTGAATCGGAACGGTATTTCAATTTTATTTTAAACGAGTAGATTTAACATCATATACGATTTAATCTTTAATAACAAATTCATTTTGAAAAATCTTACGATGTAATCCAATATAATTTGTGATACAGTACGTTGGAAAAAAGGAGTCATCGCATATAGGTCGGAAATTTGCATTCTATACGATTTGACTTAAACATAATACGATGTATGTCATTCATTTAAGCGATTTTGACTTAAACTGCAGCAATTTACGATTCTGTGTATACATTGTTATACGACTTCTGGTTGTCCGCGAGGACCCCTGAGAATAATTTCAAAAGAGCTCATAAAGATTTAAAAATTTTGAAAAGAACATCAAGGAATTCTGAGGATGGACTTTTTCGCAACTGTACAAAGTTTAAAGACAACTTTTGGATTCCCTTATTGAATATTGTGTATTAGTTTGTCATTGAACCTTGATCTATTGTTGTCTTACTAAAAATTCGCCTAAGAATCTTCTCTGAAAATTTCAAGTCATTTGTTACCGGGGTTAAAAAGTTACAGCTGTTGCGTTGCAATAAATTCGGGTTTGTGTTTTATATCATCTTTTAAACATGTTGAATATTCGGTTCATTATCGTCGGTGCGATTAAATTGCCATTTTCCGCAGTTGCATTAATGAAGATGAACCACCACCGGAGCAAAAAATAAATAAAATTAGCTAAATCAAACAGTAGGGAAACAGTGGTGGGTGGACAGCACCATCTCCCACGCACTTTGGAGTACTACCCATCCCAGATTAAATGCACCATAGAAAAAAAATTGCCCCTCCTTAACAAAATTCCTGTGCACGCTAGTGCGCAATAGACAGTGACGACAGCGATTCCGATCTGGTTTCTACACGAAAGAAACCAACGTCGAAATGACGGCTGTCCACGTCTTCATCTAGTTCTTCCTCGTTCGTTTCTTCGAAGCGAAGAAATCAGTCTGGAGGAACTGGTCAAGAAGATTCCACTGCCACGAGGAACTTCCGTCGAAAAATTACTTCGAGTCAAACCGGTCGTAAGGCTCGAGAAGCTCAGCTCGGAAAAGATCAAATCGTTGATTTCTTCGAAGAATGAAGACGAAGCATCTTCCGCCGGATCGTCGACCGTGTTCGATTTCAACTATCGTGTGAAGTTAAACAAAAAGCAGGGCCGAAAATCGATGGTAGAATTGTAGCCGATCAAACAGGTCATCCGCTCCGACACGAACACGCTAACGGATGCCTCGGTGGAGATCGTGCGTCCCAAGACGCCTGCCCAGAAATCTTTTGGAAAGCATTTCAAACTGAAGCTTTTTGGGTCCCACGAAAACGTTCCACCAGCGAGTCTGATCCGGAGTACGTTACAGCGAAGAAAAGTTGATTTAATTTTAATGACGAACTTGCAGAATTTTCCAGCACTAGTGCACTAAGCAGGTCTTTCCCACGGCGCAATAGATTACTGCCAACGGTGCCACCTCAAGCGAAAATGCGATTCGAGACCGGGTTGACGTTGATGCTCAAAAGTGAGAAAATGTTCCGGGTTTCTCTACCCATGCGAATGTCAGCTGGTATCACACTGCTTACAGGTACTGAGGGAGAACCTTCCAAAACTTCTAGTGTTTGGACTGGTGGTATGGCACAAAGAATGCACAATGCACCACGAACCGACGGAGAATCGTATGTGCTGTGATCAATGTGATTGGTGAGGCAGAAGGAAACAAGCCAGCACTTGCATTATCACGACGTTCTTATGCATAATCTAGTGTGACGAAACGTTGGATCATGCGTAAGAACACCGTGAGAACGACAGAGTCGACTACATTCCTTCTGCCACACCTATAGTAACGCACACGGCTCCCGCGCTGACTGTTCCTTACTTTCTCACTCTAATCAAAATTTCCTTCGATGAGTGAGAAAACAGCACCCCGTCAACACGAGCAAGGACACGAGTTGCCAGATCATTGCACACAAAACCAACTTGAATTAATTCAAAACAAAAATACTAGCGAACCTGGCGGTGAGGAGCGGAAGGTGGACTAAAATTCTATTACAGAGAACCACATTATTTTAATTCATTTCTTCGGAGAAAGTCGTCTGTAACTTCGTTTGTGGTGGGACGCTCGAGAAATTAATTATATGATTTGAGTAGTAGCTATGCTGAAGATCCGAGAGATGTCGTCCCTTCAGTGGTAGGAAAATCATTTTTGCAGTATGAAGAATATCAGAAAATCCACGATTTGTGACTAAATCAAGAGCAAATTTTCATTACGTCGAATGTAACAAAGGTAAACAAAGTCGAGCTATCAGTGTCAATCGATGCTCCTGCTATTACACTATATACTGTCCGAATATAGGATCACATCCCATTTTTAAATTTATTTACCAGTCAAATTGCTTTTTGACGTAATCACCTTCCGATCAAAATAGTTTTCGATGTTACTTACGTCACCCGATTTCTATGGACATGCCGTTTGCCTTAAGTAACAGAACTGAGAAACCCGTGAAAAGTGTACTTTCGTCGTTTCGCTTTCTCATTATTAAAGTGAATAAATCGAACTGTTTGTTGCTAAGATGATTTCGGTGGTCCTAAAATGATGAATGGGCTGCACGTAAGGAGACATAATCGATAATTCTCCCGAAAATCCTGGTAAATACACTTTGACTTAAGTAACAATAGGGGCCACCAAACGACGTATAAGAACTAGCTAGCGATTTGCCTTTGTATGATTAAAACCCGGCTAAATATGTTAAACATTGCTATCACTATGAGATTATATGTGTTTAATTGGAAATAGGAATAACTTTTCGGTCATCAAAACAAAACTTTATTTTTCTCGGATCGGTGCGAATGTTACTTACGACATAATGAAAATTTGCTCTTGAAATATGCTTTCACAGAAGGAACAAATAAACCAGTGTTTACCTTATCACTATAGTAATGTACTCGTGCAATTTTTCCTTTCAAAATCGGCTAGCGCACTCTACATTGATGGTGTATGAAAAGAGCCTATTCCCATACATTCGAAGTGACTGGCCCTCTGGATTTGGATGATGTCAAAAACCACAAAACATGATTAATTGGAGACAAGCAGCCAGGGACCGAGTTAGTTGGCACAACTTTGTTATACAGGTCAAATCTTGAGGGACATCGGACCAGCAAAAGTAAAGTATCTTATACGTTGGCCAAATTGTTATCCGAACTGCTTAAAAATTCGAAGAAATAGTTATTGAATAGTACAGAATTCTAAATTGATGTTATTTATGAAAAATTTACATTAGAATTGTGCTTTCTTAAATCTCAGTCTTTCCCTGATTGCGAACCACACTTTAAATTTTATATAAACTTGTGGCCCATTTTGTGTACCATCATAATGCTTGATGAAACTTATTCCGCCCGGAAACATGTTTTTTCGGAATTATGAAGTCATTATACGTTATGATGACATTTTGTATTTTTAAGTTACAAGAGGACGTTGCAAAGGATGAGTTTGACGTATAAAACCTGGGCATTTAATTTTCAGAGAGTCACAATCAGCGAATTCATTAAATTAATCACTTATGGCTGTACACAGCACAAAAAAATGTAATATCGATCAACGTAATTCAAGCTGATGTATGAAATAATGATGTAATAGCAAGAAGCAGATACAATAATAGCAACAATCAATACGAAACTAACGATTTTAAATTGGCTGAATACTTGACTAGCCTATTGGTCCCAAGCAAACGATTAACGTACCCCATTCTAGTCAAAATTCTAGTACTTCACAATGTTTGTTTTGATTCGCTATGAAAGTTTGACAGATAAAATGAGGGGGTTAGTGGATTTTCCTATGTTTCGAGGGGTGAATCGATTAGCTTAAGACCGAAGATAGTACCAGAGCTGAGCCAAAAAGTTGAGCACGTTTCTTCGGGACCTACTAGTTTCCCCATCGGGATCCGTATTCGGTTTCCCCATCGGGATCCGTATTCGGTTTCCCCATCAGGATACGTATTCGGAATCCCCATCGGGATCCTTCTACGGAATCCCAATCGGGATCCGTATTGGATTTCCCCATTGGGACCCGTATTCGGTTTCCCCATCGAGATCTGTATTCGGTTTCCCCATCAGGATTCGTGTTCGGTTTCCCCATCGGGATCCGTCTATGAAATCCCCATCAAGACCCGTATTGGGTTTCCCCATCGGGATCCGTATTCGGGTTCCCCATTGGAATTCGTATTCGGTTTCCCCATCGGGATCCGTCTACGGAATCCCCATCAAGACCCGTATTCGGTTTCCCCATCGGGATCCGTATTCGGTTTCCCCATCGGGATCCGTATTCGGTTTCCCCATCGGGATCCGTATTCGGTTTTCCCATCGGGATCCGTATTCGGTTTCCCCATCGGGATCTGTCTATGGAACCCGTCATCGGGATCCGTCTACGGAACCCGTTATCGGGATCCGTCTACGGAACCCGTTATCGGGATCCGATTACGGAACCCATCATTGGGATCCGTCATCGGATTTCCAACGGGGTCCACTTCCACTTAGTATTTAGTATTTCCGGAGAACTTTGAGATTTGGACGTAATTGCTTTTGTAAACAAACACGTCTATCGCCGATTAATCGTAAATTGAAACTTATTATCGCGAACAAACCATACTAAATGATAAAGGAATCGTTTCTCTACCTGTTTGTGCCGTTAATTTTTTTAGATTGAGCTTTAATTGGCGATTGACGTGTTTGTTTACAAAAGCAATTACGCCCTAATCTCAAAGTTCTCCGGATTTATTTATTTATTCGTCCATAAAAAAACACATGCACTAACCTGCAGAGATCCGGCTTCGTACTCCCCGCCGGGTTCCAGCGTCGGACTTCCTACCGGGATCCGGCCTCGGACTGGTGCACTTTTCTAAAAAAAAAACTTAATTACATTAAATAGGTACATTAATTCACATTTACTTACCTGAAAAACAGCCTTGCTGATTCCCGGACTAATTTGCCAAAACAACACACACCGCAAAAACACGGCCAATGTGATCGACGCAAATTTGAATACAGTGTACTCAAAATCAAAAAAAAAGTGCAGGAACGCAACGATGAGTAAATTTGCCTCGAGATTTGCCTCATGTTTTCCTGTGGAAAACCTCAAAAATCTTCCAGAAAATTAGGATTGACGAAAATCCACAGAATCCAATCTTTACTTTTCTTATTTTCGGAAAATTTTTCCTGGAAAAACCTGGAAAAACCTGGAAAACCTGGAAAAACAGAGGGAAATTAACTCAAAACTGAGTTCCTGTACTTTTTGCGATTTATGAGTGAACTAAACTCAAATTTGGGTGTTCTCATTTGCCGTGTAGTGCTGACTCGGACAAAACAAACTTTGCATGCGCAACACGGTGCAACACTAATAAAAGTGCGGTTTTACGTTAAATTGTTGTTGTGTCTTCATCGCACTTATTCCTTGGTGAATGAATAATAAGTGCGCAGAAGGCGTCAAGACGATACAACGTCTAAGTGCACTTTTATTAGCGTCTCCACTCTTCTAAAGAGTTCAATTTTATTTGCAATTAATAATGTCACAAAACCACAGACAAACAGACATAACACTCGCAAGTTGTTCATCGAACAAGCATTTAACGGATAATTTAAAAGTATTGTAGTTGGTAGTACCGCCACATGTGGCGCGCATAGTCAATTCCCTTGCATTTGACGTTTACACACTACCGCCATCTGTTCAGTGTAGTGCCCACCACAGTGTACTCAACAGATGGCGGTAATGTTTTAGCGACGATGTTTTACAGTGAGAAATATCCAATGTGTTATGTCTGTTTGTCTGTGACAAAACTATGCATAGGAGGCATCACTGCACTGCAAGCCTCTTTTTATTGTTGTGTCATAGGATGTATTCTAATGTTTTATGCGTGCAACAATTTACATCGTGATGAACTTTGATTCTAATGTAACGTTAGGTCCTGTTGTCATTGGATGTATTCTGATGTTTTATGCGTGCAACAAATTACACCGTGATGAAGTTTGATTCTAATGTAACGTTAGGTTCTGTTGTCATTGGATGTATTCTGATGTTTTATGCGTGCAACAAATTACACCGTGATGAAGTTTGATTCTAATGTAACGTTAGGTTCTGTTGTCATTGGATGTATTCTGATGTTTTATGCGTGCAACAAATTACATCGTTATGAAGTTTGATTCTAATGTAACGTTAGGTTCTGTTGTCATTGGATGTATTCTGATGTTTTATCCATGCAACAAATTACATCGTGATGAAGTTTGATTCTAATGTAACGTTTTATTCTGTTGTCATTGGATGTATTCTGATGTTTTATGCGTGCAACAAATTACATCGTGATGAAGTTTGATTCTAATGTAACGTTAGGTTCTGTTGTCATTGGATGTATTCTGATGTCAAATTTTACATCGTCAAGACGTTTGATTCTGATGTAACGTTTGAGGCTAATGTATTTTTATGTACTTGGACGTCACACTGAAGTCTGAATACATTAAGGGTACAGCAATACACGTTAAAATTTAATGTATTGAAGATGTCTGCTGATGTTTTCTACATTACAATTTCTATTCGGGGGCGCATTTGTTCATTACTTTGGCACCGAAGTCTCCGAGCTTCACGCCAGAGGTTCTCCATCTGCACCGAAATAGCTTCAAGCCGAAATTAATCTCCAATGTGAGTTGCCGTGTTTGTCAATTTTGCGGAGTGAGTGAGAAATTTGCTTATCTGTTTTCAGCTGAAAGATCAGGAGATTACGGCCACTGGATTCAACTACTCCAATCACATGGAGATGATGACCGGTCCGATTTTATTGGGTACGAGTAAAGGAACTATTTGGAAGGCTGACATCGGAATAGACAGCGGAGATAAACTGGTGCAGCAGGTCGAAAATTTAGCAAATGGCGTGCATCAACAAAGCAGGATACAGCACAGTTTGAAGTTTTTTTTTATCCATTAATGAGTATAAAAAATCACATTTTTTGACTGGTACTGGTACCACCGACAAACCGACATGAATGACCATATCAAAAACAATAAATTTTCTGACCAAAGCACACTACTGAAATCTGGCTCCGTGTTCGCGGGAAATATTTAGCTAAGCCATGAACTCGCATGCATAAGCTATGTTCGTGTCTGATCTAATCTGGACAAATTATTTTGATCTAGATCAAAAAATCCTATGGTTTTGACAGTTCGGATCACTGCACATTTAAATCGGTCGTTTACGATTTTCGGGCATAAATCAGAATTAAGTGTCATGTCGGTTTGTCGGTGCTGGTACTACATTCTTAAAATGTGTATTTTTCACACATCTTAGGATCTCCAAACTTACACATTTGTGACAGCTCCATATAAATCTAGATAGAGCTGGAGTTAGGGCGTAACAGCTTTTGTAAACAATGGCTTCTATCGATGATTTCTAGGAACTAAAGGCACGCCCACGCAGACCAACATAACCATCGGATAGGGAAAGAATTTCCCTACCCGATGAGGTGGTTGGTTTGCGTGGGCGAGCCTTGAATTTCTAGAAATCATCGATTGAAGTCATTGTTTACAAAAGCTGTTGGGCCCTAATTCCAGCTCTATCTAGAAATATAAAAAAAAAATTGTATTTTTTTACTCATTTATGTGTTTACGCTGGTTACCGTGTATAGTACTCATCTTGGTCATTATTGAGTATTTTGCGACAACCGTGTACTGCAGTACAGATATTTTTTTATAAAATCATCTGGCAGCTCTGCTAACCAAAACAAACCGCCATCAGCGGACAACAAAACGGAAGTGTTTTATTCAATGTTAGTCTGAAAATGTATGTATTAAAATACAAGTTAACAAATTAACTGATGGCTGTAGGATGGATCTTTCTCTAATTTGGTAGTCATTCCATGTAGTAACTATTTATTATTGCTACCAGATTAGAGGGAGATCCGTGCTACAAACATCGGTTGATTATAGAGAATAAGACTTAGTGGATCAGTCTAACTCTAAACAAATTATAATAATTATTAGGCAAAAAAGGTGATTTCGTTCTTTTCATTTCCAACATCAATTCCAAATATTTGACCTTCGCGTCGATTTGAGCATTAGTGTAGGTAGATAATCTTGGACATTTCCATTTGGCACATTCACCGTAAAATTGAAAAATTACTCAGTTTTAAGCACACAATATGATCGGTAGGACACGTGTGGGATCCCGCCTGTTGTAGTTTTTTCGCAAATTTACTCACACGTGTCCTGCTTGCTTTGCTTTTCAGTACCTTCTATATTTTCCAAACTATAAATAACTTGACTTAAGTCGGTCAATCGTAGAAAAGCCTCTTTTGCGTAAACATGTGTAACCCATTGGTCTACATTTCAAACTTCAGAACAAAATTGTGAGTTGTTTAAGGGCTGTTCGTTAATTACATAGACTGATTTTAACTCCCCTCCCCGTTGTTCCCAGTAGATTTCCCGGTAAATTTTTCAAAAATCTCACAAAGAAAATAATTACACGTGAAATCCAATTAGGAATGTTTTCAGACCTTAGTCCCGTAAGCAGCGCATGTGTTCCGAATCTTGGTACCCCGATATCATCGTAAAATCAGGCAAGTTTTCTTAAAAAGTTTCTCAGCTTTTCTAAAGTACACTTCTTCTCTTGTAGCACGCTTGTCACACATATAAATTGCAGAAACTTTTATGAGACTTATTTCAACCATAAATTAGTTGCTGTATAGTTCCAAAATAGAATTGTTACTCGGATTGCACAAAATGTTATCGGAAACAAACAAATTTTGTATGAATTGACCCAATTTAACATTTGTGAAGCTGTTTGTACAGTACCTTTAATTCGACATAACATTTTGTGGAGATTTCTAATCGCAAAGTTGCTTTAAGATTGGCTACTTTTCTTATCGAATATATTATACTTCAGGAAATTTGATTTAAGATGAATATTCACCCAGATTATGGAAATTATGTCTGAGAACAAGTACAATTCTCAATAGGTCCTTTGTCCATTTGTCCATAAAAAAACCGATTAACTTGACTCGCTTCTACCATGACCAGCGCAGTATTTTTGCAGGTATGTTACGTAGACTGGCTATAATAAAAACTCCTTCAGCAAAATAAAAGAAAATACATAGGGGAAAAGTTGGCTTCGGCAATACCTTAACCTTTTATCGTCAAGGGGGTAAACAAAGTCCTAGAGCACTCAAATTTGGCCAATAGTTGCTCTGAAACACAATGTATCCACATGCCAAAATTGAGCTCTCAAGGACGTTGTTTACCCCCTGACGATAATAGGTTAAGGTATTGCCGAAGCCAACTTTTCCCCTACATACAATAGGAACAGGATGTCATCCGACAACGTTTCAACATCGACTAAACCGATGACGAAAATCCGACTGAAGACGATAGGGCTACAGTTCAAATGTTGCGCCCCGGGGTGCGACGTGAACAAAGCGATCAACATCTCACTGCATCCGTTCCCGCATGAGACAACCGAACCCGATCGGCACCAGATCTGGAAGCGATTGCTGCTGATCGAGCATACCGTCAAACGATCGGACGTGGTATGTGCGAGGCACTTTCCGAAGGAAAGCTTCAAATATAATGGTGAGTAATTATGAGGTCCATTCTGCGCCGCAAGTGAGGTCTGGTGACAAAAGACACCTCACCTCACTCGCCACACAGGATAGGCCTGTATACCTAATAGCAGGGATGGATTGCTCTTTGATGTATCGTTCATTACTTTTTAATTTAGAAAGCTAACGTTGAGTCCAATTAAATTTTCAGTTAATTCATCTTGAAAAAAGTTAGGTTAATCCTAGTATTCTCCCAATCAAACTTCAAAAATTAAGCACCGATGATCCACACTCCGTGTTTTCACTGAAAATTCACTGGGGTGAGAGCTCCAGTGCACCTTCAGTGAAAGCACAGAGTCTCTACGGTGCGATCATTTTAAAGTCTGGACGATAGAAAAATTGCATTCATCTATCTATTGTAAGATGGGTTTTTTGAAAATTAAATGGGATTTGGCGATGGCTTTCTATTTGTAATTACGGTTAACAGCTTTTCAGTCAATATTAATTGTTTATGAGAAAGTTAGAAGATACTAAGAGATAAGCACATACCGGTAAGAGACGTGTGAGAAAATTTGCGAAAAAATCTAAGAGCATCCATGGGATTCGAACACATAAATTTCCATTGAGTGCACGGATGCATAGCCAATTATCCAATGGTGACTAATGACATTTAGCTTTCTATATTAAAAATAACGAATGATGCTCCAAAAAGCGATCCATCCCTGCCTAACAGAACTAACACTAGTAGATTGAGATGCTGTAACAAAATATGTTTATTGGTTGTTTGAATTTTAGACGACGGATCAAAATCTATTTTCCTACGACCAGACGCTTATCCATATGCTACGAGTAAGCTGAAACTCCGGATAGAACGACGCCGTGCGGAGAAAGCTGCGAAGCAACCACAATTGAGTGATGTTCAATCTACCAATAATTCATCAGAAATAGAACCTAGCCAAAATGTGGAGATCCTCGAGGAAGTTCCCTAGTATTAAGGGTTTTTGTATTTTAGTTGTAAGTTAAATTTATTGATCTATTGAAGTTTACAGAAGTAATGTACAAATGTACAGAGTTGAGTCAATTTGTTGTCCTACTTTTCATCTAACTCGAAAGGCCTACTTGAAGCTATGTGCGTACGCATCATGTCGTCCTCGTTGTACCGCAACGACACAGGAGGAATCAGCGCCGCCGCCACTACACGCCCTTCCGCATTCAGAAAATTAAATGTTGCGCACGCTTGTTCCGTATTCAGAACCTCTACGTTTATCCTATACTTCCGCATGAATTCGATAAGCTTCCTAGTGAAGGCTGGAGTCGTCTGCTGGTCGCCGATTCCCACGACCAGAATGTCGATTTTCGGTTCCAGCGCCGTGAAAAGACTCAAACTTGCCTCATTGATATCTTCGTGGGTTTCGACGTTCCACGAGAGGACCGATCGGGGGAAAATAGCCATTGGACCGATCACCTTCATGTCATTGCTTAACCGGAAGCCAAGCTGGCTGTACGAGTTGATCAGTAAGCCGGATTCCGCTTCCTGATTCAGGATCGAGACCGAAGTTTTGCCATCTCCTTCGTATGCTGCAGAACGCCTCGCAAAGCCGGTACTGTGGGGAACGATTACTGCATTATTTGTTAACGTTTGAAAACTATGTTTTCTTTACTTACTGGACACTTCTGACTATTGATGATCTGAGGGCCGTACGGAGCCCCAGAATTGATTGCATCTTTTAGATGGTTTTATTACGATAAAAAATCCTGAGGACTAAAAACCAGCATCGATTCTGTGCTTGGCGTGAAAATTTTATTTACATCACGAATCACGATTCGTTTAGAAAAATGTCATAACAAAACGATCAATTCTTGCTGCGTACGTAATAGCGTTGGGCGATATTGATATTGACTAGATATTTTTGATCGATTTTATCACTGAAACATTAAATCGACTGACTCACTGTCGTAAAAAAAGACCATACACATATCCCCACCCCTCGTTTTTAAGAGATGAAAAATGTATCTTAACCATACGTAAAATCACTTTCCCGAACAAACTTGAGCCATTTACCGTTAATTGTAATGTTGTTCTATTGTTGAAAATCCTTACAATATGGGACGTATTTCACATCTATTGTAATAACAATCACCCATATTCTTGTTTTCGTTCGAACCGTATTTTCAATCCAATTTTTTTGTATGGAAAATACGGTTCGTGTAAAGGACCTTTGAAAGTTTGTTTATAAATGCTTTTGTGCCGTTATCAAATGTTATGCCTGATATATTTGGTTATTGGCGTTGACGGCGACTCTGTAGCTCTTTACTCCTATGAGAAAATCCATAAGCAAACGTCAGACTGTGCGTGAAACATGGCGGACTTTGTACTATCCTTTCACTCCACCGAAAATTCCTATAAGAAACTGTCTATATTTGCTGAAAGAGCAAATTTTTCGACGGTGCCGTCAACGCCAATAATCGAAAACATCATATAAAGAAGACTGGCAACTTTTCCAGAATCCAAGTGACAGATACAATAGCGCTGTGCTTGAGTCAAGAGTTATTGATGTTTTTATACTAAAAATATGCACTTTTCAAATGTTAATATCTCTGGTTGGGGCAAACGAAAAAAAAGTTTTTTTACGGCATTTGAAAGGGCGTATGTTATTTTTTAAACTCGTATAAAATCAATTTGAATTTATTCATATTTTTTACTATATTTGGGTATATCTTTTTTGTTAGAAGAGATACAGACAACAAATTTGCTATAAAATATTCGTCTTAAAGAGTTTTAAAAGTCTCTAAAAGATGACTTTCATTTGAAATTTCAAATAAAAAAGTTAGTGCTAAAAAGCTATTTTTTTCCATTAACACCCTTAGAGCAACCGTACCAATGAGTAAATAAGGCACATTTACCTACCTCTACCATAACGTTACTTGCGTACCGGGGGTTGCTATTCAGGTGGGGGAAACAGCAATCCGCACCTTGGGAAGTAGTGAGTTCATAAATTTAGCAACCCGGTAGCAACGCAGACCAGCAGAAGGAACAGCAGCAGCAGCATTGGAAGCAGCCACAGCCGTGGGAGCTGCATCGCTAATTCGTGTAGTCGTGGCCGACGCTGGAAATCTTGGGCCGGTCACGACAAGCAGTGTTTGAGTTCAATCGGAAAGTCAACAACCAAACAAAAACTATACCATTCGAACAGCTCGAATACATCCATGGTGGTTACTGCTATACCAACCGTTCCTTCGTCCAACATATAATGTTGGAGGACCATCTTGGCAAAATCTCAAATAGTTCAACAAATTATTTGTACTCTCCTGCCTTTTTGCACTTCCAACTAACACAATAAGAAATTATAATTACGAATCATAACATTAACTACACAAAAAAAAAGGAAAATCCTTTCTTTTCTCAGAAAAAGAAAGCTAACGCTCCACGCACCGGTCATCTTCTTGGAGGAGGAGAAGCACAGCTTCATAATAAACGGAAATTTTGTGCATTTGTGATCGATCACGCTGTGGTTGCACTTCATGATGGCGTTCACCGCCAGGGCTACGCTCGGGAACTCGACCAATCCGGAGGAGGAACTTTCCGATTTCAGCAGGAACATTCGCACTTGCGACGGGTGGCAGTCCTTGGTGGTGAATGCAGTCAGCAGCAGAGCATCGGACGGCATACGGGTGGGGTATTGAATAAGTGCAGAATACGATTTTTGCTGGCCTGGGAAGTAATTGTCCGGCAGGGTGTACGTTCGTCTGCGATGGCGTCTCCCATCTAGACCATGGAGGTACCCTCTTTGGTCTTCAGGAACTTTATTCTGACATTTCCATACAGGCGATACAAATTGAACAGCTTATCGGTGTTGCCTGTGTTGTTATCGAGTCCGTAGGCCATCATCACTGCGCCTTGTTGCTGTTCCGGTTGAATGAAGTTCGCTGGTCCTTTTCGGGTTAGCGGTGCGTCCTTCATCAGTCCGACGTGTGTTCCGGCCGGTGTTGGTCTCCAGTTTTCCGACGGATGATACTCGGACGGTGACAAATTCGGTGCAAATCCGTTTCCTCCGCCGGCTCCCAGAAGGGCTGGTTGACTAATTATTGACGTTCGTTGTGCGGGGTCGGCCTTCCGCCGAAGATGCTTGTTTTTGAAAACATTGAAAATCAAAACAAAAACAAGAGCTGTTAAAATACCGGGTTGCCAAGCAAGGCATTATTCACAAGCAAACAAAAGTCAGTTCAATGACTTCTTGGCACTGCCGATACAGCTGCGGCACACTGAGGTACACTGAGGTACACTGAGGTACACTGAGAAAAATGTTGGCGCAAATTAAGTGTGTAGAGTGACCACCCCTTGGGTACTACGCAATGTTTGTTTTGATTCGCTATGAAAATTTGACAGATAAAATGAGGGGTTATTGGTTTTTCCTATGTTTCGAGGGGTGAATCGATTAGCTTGGGACCGAAGACAGTACCAGAGCTGAGCCAAAAAGTTGAGCACGTTATTTCGGGAGCTTCTATAGTCTTAGAGTTACCTCTATGCTTATACCCCGTACAGACTATGGCTTATATCATGTAATATAGGCTGTCTTGCAATGAGCACTCATACATAGGATTTCCAGTGAAAACTAGATGCATGAGGGCTCATTGCAAGACAGCCTATATTACATGATATAAGCCATAGTCTGTACGGGGTATTAGTCAACTCCGAAAAATTACTCTAAAATGAAAACGTTAAGAGATAGAAAAAAAATTTCTTCAACAAAGTTGCTTGCAATTAACTCAACTACAACTTTTTTGAACAACACATGTTTTTATTTTGTAAAACAAAAAATTTAGTTTTAAAAATTCTCTAATTTGACGACCACCCTAACGTTTGCAAACACCAAAAGAAGGGAATTTTTAAGAACAAAAACTTCTTCGAAGACACTAAATGTCCAACTATTGAAACAAATGTACTAGCACATTTTATTTAAATTTGTCATTAGAGTGGTCCTATGAAATCCATCTTTTGCCAATAACTTTTTTGTTTGAAATTTCTCATGAAATTCATCTTCTAGAGACTTTTAAAACTCTTTAAGACAAATGTTTTATAGCGAAACTTGTTGTCTGTATCTCTTTTAATAAAAAAAAACCCCAAATATAGTAAAAAATATGAATAAATTCAAATTGATTTTATACGAGTTTAAAAAATAACATACCTCCAATTTTTTCACATTATTGAGAATAACATACGCCCTTTCAAATGCCGTAAAAAAACTTTTTTTTTGCCCCAACCAGAGATATTAACATTTGAAAAGTGCATATTTTTAGTATAAAAACGTCAATAACTCTTGATTGGCGAAAGCTATTCCCGCATAAGCAATAACCATAAGAAGCGCCTTACCACCAATTCCAGATATCATCCCAACTTTATGTAGTATGGTCGTACCATATATGATATAGTTAGTGTATGGTACCTGTTTATTAGCGTTGACAAGCTTTGTGCAGCAAAATTTGCGCGTTCTTAAGATCTAAAAGTTATTTTGAGACATCTTTGCTGAGAAATTCGAAATAAGAAAACTAGAGCAAAATAACTGTTTTTTTTAGCGCACCCTAACTCAATTCAAGAAAATAGCTCTAAACCGGCCAATTTAAAAGATAAAAAAAGTTGTTTTCAACAAAGTTGCTTGAAATTAGCTCAGCTATAACCTTAATTTATTCATACAAAAAAGTTAGATTTTTGATTTTAATGATAATAAGAACCACCCTAGAATTCATTGTCATAAAAATGAGGGCCTAACTATAAGGAACAACTTTGTAGAAGAGACTTTTAGTCTAAAGTTTCAATCTCAGGCTCAAAACATATCATTCCACCTAAATCTGCATTCTGGACCACTGTGCACTGGAAGCTTCTATGCACGAAAAGAATCATAATAAAAGCAGAGGAAAAACAAAAACAAAAATCTTTTTCTTGGCTTATTGAGCTGCTCCCAAATTCAAGTGATGCCAGATTTATTTTTCAAATTAATGGCATTTATCAGGGCTACAAGATTGCATGATATTACATTGTCCGGTCTATATACAGTGTCTATAATATATAGCATTTGTTTATCACATTGCAAAAATTCATGTGTGTGACACATACAAATAATCATTGAATTTTTATTAGTGCAGTCTTCTTGATTTGTTGTTTTCGTTATAATTGTATATAACTTAATGGTAATTGTATATGGTTATTTTTATCCGGGCAAATCATAGAATTATTCCACAAATGGTTTGATTGATACCCTGAACACGTCGTTGAGCAAAATAACCATACAAATTTTATTCGGATTGTATGATTGACATCGGCTCTAGTGATTATTTTAGAAATTTTCCTAACAAAACGCCCAATCCTCTCGCATCCTGACTAAAACTTTGACAGTTAAACGTTCAGTTGCTTGAACGAAAAGAAAAACAATACAAAAAAATAACGAGGTGACACACAAAAAGATCGAGAAAAAGAAAACGCGAAAGAGGAGAAAAAAGATTCGTCGTCGCAATCGATTCCGGATCGCCCTGAGAAAAATATTTTCTGCGTTCGGTCGTAAATCAGCTCCAAATAGCTGCGGAATCGTGTAAAAAGCTCGTGAAAATGTAGTTTGTGCTTCTATGAGGTAGGATCCGATCGAGAACTTCGATGAAAGCATCGAAAAGTGCATAAACATTTACCAGTGAAAATCAAACGGTGTTTTTTCTTGGGTTGATTTTTTTTTCGGTGTCTGTGGTTGGGAGTAGCAGGAGGACGAGTGCGGGTGCAAGCTGGGAGAAGTGCCAGAAGAACAAGTGTCCGTCGTCGTCGTCGCTGGGTGTAGCTATCGTGGACACAATTAAAAAAAATGGAAAATAACACAGAAAACGCACTAGTGAAAGGGGTGAAATTGATAAAGCGGTGTGTAACGAAGTAATTTTGATAGTGATTGGATTTTGGGATGGTGGCAGCGTTCTATAGATAGGGAAGTCCAGGTTTAGGTGACAAGGCAAATGACCAGCTTGCGCGAGCACCAAAACATCGATTAGAAGAAAAGCGTAATTTCTCCTGCACTTTCACATGGATACGAAGAGAGTGTTGACAACGGCCTGACCAATAATTAGCAGCAGTCTTAGACCGTGCTCCAATTTCTGCTGCTTCTGCTTTCCTCTTTGATTATATTTATCCCCTTCTCGCGTTGGAATCCGTGTTATGCCAAGTACCAAGATATAGGCTTTTGCAGCATTGCACCTAGTGGAATATATGGGGGTATATGGAAAGCGGAAAATAATGGATAAGCGTCCGTAGCAGTGGCTGATAAAATTGAAAAAAAAAAATGCTTGAAAAGCATATTATTGTTATCAATTGGTGTTTTCTCTTCCCCGAAAAGATAGCTAGTGCCGTATTAAGCTTCAACTAGGAGTGTAAATATGAAGAAAATAGCATTCGGCAAGTGAAATGAAGAAGCATAGTTGTACCAGTTCCGTGCGACGTTGGAACCAATGAGACAAAAATCCTAATTTAGTAGTGTTCCAACAGTAATAGCGAAGAAAATAAAAATTACAAAAGCATCAGAAAACCAGAATCATGATGGACGAAGATGCCCTAATAGCCCGGGCCAAGGAAGAACGGGCCAAAATATTCCAGCGGTACGATCGAGGCCGGGAACAGGGCGCTGAAATCGATGCCTGGGAAGATCCCGCATTGGAAGTATACCATCAAACAGATCGGTAAGTTTCCATATTTCTTTTAGTACCTAGACAAATAGAAAATGTTTTGTTTCTGAAAGCTGGCATTGCAATGCGATAGACGGGTGAATCGTGGGTGGGCAAATGATTTTCTCAATCAAGTGCAGCATTTGCCACCGCTAGGGCAGCACTGTTGTGTGGGAATATGTGGTTTATCGCCCACGAACGCCTGCCCGCCTGTTTGCTGCAAGGTCTTTCCTTTGGCAGCGAGCGCTGCTATCCAAAACAACAAAACCTATGTGCAGAGGAGATTGAATTTGCTAATAGGGTTAGATTGTCTTGTGAAATACAACAACTTTGGCTGGGTGCCTGCTTGCTGCTATCATCCGGTTTTGCGATGGTGGTGACATTACGAAAACTGGCCTGACTCATCATCATTCTGCATATAAATTATGACTAAACCCGTTTTCTGTGCTTTTATCTTTTTATGCTTATTATGTATTAGTTTTTGTAGAAAAAGCTGCTTCATTTTAGGATGTAGAGGAAAGTGACACTTGATCAAATCCGTCTCACATACCATGCGTATCCACGATATGTTGGAGGTCGAATTTGTAGATAATATGCTCAGTTTTTCTCTTACTTGAAAATTTCTCATCTTTCATTAGTGAACATTTACGTTTGTTTACGTGTGATTAAGCACCAACTTTGAACTCCTTTCCCCTTGTAGTTGGTCACCCTAAAAAGCTGCGTCATTTATGGATCTTTCCTCACCAGTTTATTACTAACATACTTGAAAAGTTAATGATTGCCAGCAACGCCGGCTGAGCATATCCGGTGGCTTACATTTCTATTAAACATTCCTAAATTCCTGAAACGTTTATAAGAGGTCGTAGATTTCTCTGCATCTCTCTTGTCTTAAGTAAATGCCGAACTAACATTCCTTCCCCATCGCCAACAGTTGCAGTTACCACGTCGGCCAGGACAGAAACATGTTGAAACGAGAAACATCCTTTATCTAAGAAGTACTGAGTAACCCCGAATTACTATCTATCAGTACCGGATAAAGCTTGGTCTTCTTCTTAACAGCAGTTTGGAATTCGTACCACCTATGAATTGTGCAATTCATTTTATACTATGCTATGTATTCTGGGGGAATACCAAGCGCGGTTAGAGGTGAATCCCAAACGAATTTCAATGGGATTCCCAACCGGAATACTTTTGACATCCAACATGGGGTTCTAAGGATCTAATTCTTTGGGAATACCTTGCCAGATTTTGTTTTAATCTTGTACGGAATTTTTGAGGAATCAAAGAATTCCTAGGGACGATATTGTGGGATAATCCCAAGCGAGATTCTAGATGAATACTAGGCAGAATTCATGTAGAATTCCAAATATTTTTTTCTAGGAATCCCCATCTGGATTGGAAACCGCAGGCGGGATTCTGAAGGAAATCCAAGAAATCGCATATTGTATTAAGGAAAAACGCCAGACGGGAATTTCGTGAGATCCTGTACGATATTCTGGTGAAAACTAAAAGAAAATCTTAAGAAATGCCATGAGGATCTGAAATATGCTTAGCTGGATTAAATCCCGAAAGAACTTTTTTGGGAATCCCAACCGAAATTCTTTGAAGAGGAATCCTAAATGAAATTCAAAAGAATAACAGATCTGAAGAACGTAACAGCTTTTGTAAACAATTACTTCTATCGATGATTTCTAGGAATTCAAGGCACGCCCACGCAGACCAATATAACCATCGGATAGGGAAAGTCTTTCCCTACCCGATGATCATGTTGGTTTGCATGGGCGAGCTTTGAATGTCTAGAAATCGATTGTATAACATTCCCCAGAAAACCATTCCCCAAAAAAGCATTCCCCAGAAAAGATGATGACATTAGTAATTTATCACTTTTTTTGGTCATTTGATATTATATTTCAGTTTTATATTACAGAACAGGCGTCCATAAATAAACAGGTCCGCAAGTATCTTGCACACTGAATAATACATCTTCTGAATAACAATTTTCTCGATAAATTTTACCCATATGATTTAATATATTTTTCATGACAAAACTCTCTGATTAGTTTCACTTTACTATTGATGATACACTACGTTTACTTTTATGGAACTGTGTATTTATCAATTCCAAACCATTTTATAGCTCTTTAGAAAATGACAACCTTCAAGTTTTCAAGCACTTCGTTCATGATTTAAAAAGTCAAAGGGTCTATTATGCAATTCAATTCAACCAGTCGGAAACTGTTAAACCTTATCGAAGAATTGTTCGACCTGAGTTGAAGAATTTTTCGTGATGGATTAAAAAATCGGTGTATGGAACGTTGAACTATAGACGTCGCGAAGAGACGCTTGTTGAACTTATTCAATCAATTTCTGGAGCACAACATTGTTCCGGATGACTGGAGGCAAGTAAGAGTTATCGCCATTCGAAAACCCGGTAAACCCGCGTCGGATTATAACTCGTACCGTCCCATCGCGATGCTGTCCTGTATACGGAAATTGTTGGAGAAAATGATTCTTTTTCGTCTAGACAAATGGGTCGAGTCGAATGGTTTACTTTCAGATACGCAATTTGGATTTCGGAGAGGCAAGGGAACGAGCGACTGTCTTGCGTTGCTTTCAACTGAAATTCAACTGGCCTATGCGCAAAAACAGCAAATGGGTTCAGTTTTCTTGGACATTAAGGGGGCTTTTGATTCTGTTTGTATTGATGTCCTTTCGGATAAACTCCACGATAGTGGGCTTTCACCAATTATGAACAACTATTTGAGCAACTTGTTGTCTGAGAAATATATGAGCTTTTCTCATGGAAACTCGACAACTTCACGAATTAGTTACATGGGTCTCCCCCAGGGCTCATGTTTAAGCCCCCTTCTTTATAATTTTTATGTCAAAGACATTGATGGTTGTCTTGATGAAAATTGCTCGCTAAGGCAGCAGATGACGGCGTTGTGTCCGTTATAGGGCCAAGTGCACCGGACCTGCAAGGACCATTGCAAGATACCTTAGACAACTTGTCTACTTGGGCTTTGAAGCTGGGTATCGAATTCTCTCCGGAGAAAACTGAGTTGGTTGTTTTTTCTAGGAAGCACCATCCTGCACAGTTACAGCTTCAGCTAATGGGTAAAACAATCACTCAAAGTATTTCTTTTAAGTATTTAGGTGTCTGGTTCAATTCCAAATGCACATGGGGAAAACATATTGCGTATCTGAAACAAAAATGCCAGCAAAGAATTAATTTTCTTCGTACAATTACTGGAACTTGGTGGGGAGCACACCCGGAAGATCTGATCAGGTTGTATCGAACAACCATCTTGTCGGTTCTAGAGTACGGTAGCTTCTGTTTTCAATCCGCGGCGAAAACACATATCCTGAAGCTGCAACGGGTTCAATACCGTTGCCTCCGAATCGCGCTTGGCTGTATGCACTCGACGCATACGATGAGCCTCGAAGTACTCGCGGGTGTTCTCCCACTGACAGATCGTTTCGCGGAACTGTCCTTCCGGTTTCTTATCCGTTGTGAAGTAATGAACCCATTGGTAATAGAAAATTTTGAGAAGCTACTCGACAGAAATCCTCAAACAAGATTCATGAGTTTGTACTATGAGTACATGACGCTGGAGGTTGGTCCTTCTTCATTAATCTCCAATCGTGATTGCTTTCAAGCCTTCTATAGTTCCTCTGTAAATTTTGATCTGACCATGATGCAAGAAATCCATGGAATACCAGATCACCATCGGTCGATGGTTGTTCCCTCAATTTTTGCAATCAAGTACCACCATGTAAGTAACGATAAAAGATTTTTCACAGATGGGTCAACCATAAATGCTTCCACTGGATTTGGTGTATTTAATCAATTTCATAGCGCCTCCTATAAACTGCAGAAACCATGCTCCGTATACGTTGCGGAACTCGCAGCTATATTTTACGCAGTAGAGCGAATTGCCTCACTACCTTCTGACAATTATTTCATTTTTACGGATAGTCTTAGCTCATTGGAGGCTATTCGTTCAATGAGGCCGATGAAGCACTCCTCGTATTTCCTGCCTGAAATACGATCTAAACTGAGTGCTTTATCTAACTGCTCCTATACTATCACCTTAGCTTGGGTCCCATCTCATTGCTCAATTCCGGGTAATGAGAAAGCGGACTGATTGGCTAAGGTGGGCGCTATGGAAGGCGATATTTTTGAGCGACAAATCGCCTTCAACGAATTTTTCTCCATTGCTCGTCAGCAAGTCCTCATCAGTTGGCAACAAAAATGGAATGATGGTGAATTGGGAAGATGGTTACATTCTATTCTCCCACAGGTGTCGAACAAGCCATGGTTCAAAGGGTTGGACATGAGCCGCGACTTTATACGCGTTATATCAAGGCTTATGTCCAATCACTGCTCGTTAGACTCGCATTTCTATCGAATTGGGCTCTCAGGCAGCAATTTATGTGCGTGTGGCAGTGGTTATCACGATATCGAGCATGTTGTTTGGTCGTGTACCTTACACCGTGTTGCCAGATCTGAGTTATCCATATCCCTCAGGGCCCGAGGAAAACAACCCGCGATACCCGTTAGAGATGTCTTGGCGAGCCGAGACCTCGACTATTTGAATTTAATTTATGTGTTTTTAAAACGGATAGATTTGAGGATTTAGTAGTTAGTGTCATCTTGTGTTCTCCCAAGTTGTTAGTTGCCCATCGGTGTACCCCCATGTTTGTCTTTTTCATCAGAGTGTCGCCTAGTTCGAGATCAAGAGCACATTGCTCTCCAAACCTTGTGTTCACAATCCCTACCCTGCCATCCATTTGTTACAATTTGTTACCCCTAACCTCGAGATAGCCGCGAGTAATCGGCCTCCGCTTTACTAACGTTAGTTTTAAGTAATTTTGTTATTTAAACAATGAATATCGGCTCCGCAAAGCTACAGCAAATGAGCCTGGAAAAATAAACGAATTATAAAAAAAAAAAAACGTTGAACTACCGATTACAAATTTATAACATTATTCCACACGTTATTATCCCGAAT